AGGGGAGGCGTGATTCCCACCCCCCATTGGCTACAACTGTTTACGCAAGCCAATAGGGACCCTCTACGCCTGAACCGTTACTTCCGGGTGTCATCAGAGAAGAAACCCCTTTGCATTTTGTGCTTTTTGTATTTTCTAAGAAAAACTGAGAGTTACTGTTATTGAGAAGTTTAGGAAATGAACAGAATCTTCGGACGCGGAAAGCCCAAAGCGCCTCCCCCAAATCTGTCAGACTGCATCGGCAATGTGAGTATTGTTAGGCTGAGATGTATTGTTATTGTCAATATTATGTGACATAACGGTATCGTTGCTAAGATAGCTTGGTTACAAAAGGGCACTCAAGCCAGCCAACCGTGCTAGCTAGCTTACAAGCTACATTTAATAAGCATCTTCCACTGCGGTACAGCACAAACATCGACTCTTCTTTTACATTCAGCCTTGTTTAGTCTGTAAAAGATGGACATTTATTACCCAGAGCTTACAGCTCTATGGTAGGCTTTTACTTCTTCATCTCCCCTTCTGTCTTCCTCTAACACACACACACACAGAAAACAGAAGTAGAGCATTTTAGCACTGGTCTGCCAAGGTGCTAGAAATCATGACATCTGTACTTGACTTGCTTCACTTTCCTCTCTCAGGTCGATGCGAGGACAGAGTCCATAGAAAAGAAGATTGGCAGATTAGATGCTGAACTTTTAAAGTACAAGGATCAACTAAAAAAGATGAGAGATGGGCCCTCAAAGGTACGATGCCGCCCTCCAACCCTAGAAATGATAAAGGTCACAAGGTTTGGTTTTAAACATAGCAAATAATAATTGTATCTTTTCCTTTTGAAATGCAGAACATGGTGAAACAAAAGGCCATGAGAGTCCTGAAGCAAAAAAGAATGTGAGTCCTACTTTGTGCAAGCATATGTTTAAACTCAGAAATGTGAGAAGTAGAGCCTGACTGATGTATCTGTGTGCTGGAGTTGACCAGTAATCACAGATATATTATGCATATAACGTGTTTGTGAATAAGCATCAACAGAACAGAAATGCCACATATGCTAATCAGAGAGCACTAACTGTTAAATGACCCAGTGATCACAAATCTTTAAGAACTGAGCTTTTAGGCCATTTGTTGTGGTTATATTTCTTAAAAACTGTCTGATGATTTTTAATATTGGAGATTGATGCTCTATCTATTGAAATGTTTAATCACAAAACTGTATAAAGCATTCCTGTCACAATTTCTCAGCCCCAAAAGTAATGTTATCACATGCTTTGTTTTGTCCAGAACCCAAAGATATCAAATTTCCTATCATGTAAATAAACAAAAGAAAAAAAAAAGAGGCCGCATATACTTACAATTTTAGAAGCTCGAGCCAGTAAAAATTTTGCATTTGCATGAAAAATGACTTCTGTAATCAAAATCATTGGCTGTTAATATTCTGTCGATCAGGTAATGAAATTATTGACTAATTGTTGTAGCTCTCCACAAATTACAACACTGGTATCAGCTTCAGAAATCAAGCATCGGTCAGGCTCTAGCTGAAACTGAACTTTAAACAAGAGTATGGATTATTGTGTAACAGATCCAGTTATAATCTTTTCACAGGTATGAAGGTCAAAGGGAGCAGCTGGCCCAACAGTCTTTCAACATGGAGCAGGCAAACTACACAATCCAGACACTGAAAGACACCAAAACAACCGTAAGAACACCGCAGCTTGATAGACACTCTGTGTGGTTTGGATTAGACTTAGGCTGATAGTACTTCTGTACTTATGATGGGACGTTTTGGTCCCATAAAGACTGAGACTGAGTCAATCACTATTAAAATCGTTGCACGTCTTCATACACTAATAAACATTTTCGGCTTGTACAGTGGTGTTTGTAGTTTCATTTCATACAGTCCATCATTTAGTCATATCTTTCTTATATACCATGTAAAAATGTTTTATTTTGCAAAAACTGTTCTTAGAAATGTTAGTTTGTGTATCTACTATTACGAGTGATAAATAAATGCCATTGCTATTGATGGGCCACATTTATATATATATATATATATGAAACCATCTCAGACACCATGACTAATGCGGTGAAGCATCGTGTACTGGAAAAGACACTTGTGCAAGTCCATCTGTGACTTTCATCAAAGCTCACACTGGTTTACATGTCACTGTGCATTCTCAGAATTGTTGAGAGTAAATTATTTCATACTGAGGTCCAGCTGCAAATCTGACCTGATCACTATCAGCCTGTCTTTACCAGGAAGGCACAGCTAAATTCAGAATTCAGATACCAGTCAGTTTTCCAGATATTGTTTTTTAAATGTAACTAAATATTCTGCCCTTTATTTCTGTTTCCAGGTGGAGGCCATGAAGATTGGTGCAAAGGAAATGAAAAAGGCTTACAAGGACGTCAAACTTGATCAAATTGACGTATGTTTGTTATAAGTTTATAATGTACTGTGTCCTCCACTATTAAATGATTTGTTCCTAATGATGTGTACCAAATGCCATAGTAACCATATGTATTTTGGACTTAGGATTTACAGGACCAGCTGGAGGACATGATGGAAGAAGCCAGTGAGGTACAAGAGGCCCTTAGCCGCAGCTATGGCACTCCAGAGATAGATGAGGATGATCTTGAAGCAGGTATAGCTGACTGTCTCCAGCATATTTGTTTTACCTTGACATCTTCATTTAGTGGAATTTAAAATGAATGATCACACAACATTTCAAACAACGGCAATGAGTGCAAAAGTGACAGTGAGGGTGGAACTGTGGTTTCAGAGCTGGACGCGCTGGGTGATGAGCTGCTGCTAGATGATGACAGCTCCTACCTCGATGAAGCCTCAGCTGCTCCATCTATTCCAGAGGGAATCCCCAGTGACAGCAAAACAAACAAGGTAACAGAACTGACTCAAGGCATGGATTATGGTATTGAAAACACATGGAAGTGAAATCAGAAATGATCATGGCCATGTTTTGCTTGCTTTACATTTATACCACTTTGTCTACATCATATCTTTCACATCATATCATAGAGTGTTTTAGCTTTTCCCCACCTGCCAGGCTGTTTCCGATCATTGTATTATTGTGTGAAAGTGAACAGAAAGACGCTTGAATCCTGGTAAGAGCAGTCACCTGTTTTATCATAATTCATCCTGTACTTACCCTGAATATCAGGGTCAGGCCAACATCTTAGATTTAAGACCATCATGATCCATGTTATGCTGTCATAGCTGCTGTGTGTTTTTCCCAGCGTCTAGCACATCAGTGCAGCTGCACACCTCACTTCGGTCCCTAGATCTTTGCACTGGCTTCCAGTTAAATACAGAATTCAATTTACGGCCCTAATTATTGTGTACAAGTCTCTCAGTGGTCTGGGTCCAAAATACATAAGAGATGAGTACACATCTAGTAGGTGTCTCAGATCTGCAGGAACTGGTCAACTTGTGGTGCCCAGAGTTTGAACTAAACAAGGTGAAAGTGCTTTTAGTCTTTATGCTATCCAACTGTAGCCAACTCTTTCTTCCATTACGCAACAACCAATGACTTCATTATGCTGTTTAGCTGACTACTGTAATTTCCGGACTATAAGCCACACCCACTAAATGTAAGACAAAAAAACATTTTGTACATAGCCGCAGGTGTCCACTTTGTAGCATGAGATATTTCGACAGCCAGATCGATCGCCTATAACTTGAAAGCTACATCATATGCATTTCATCGTGTGTTGTCCATGATGATGGTGTGTGCATGAAGTGACAAAAGTAGCAGCTTATAGTCCGGAAAGTACGGTATATAGACACTAATGTATCATATACTACAAGGGTAGTCTTGGGAAAACTAAGAAAAGTATATTGAGAACAGTGAGAATCCATAGTTTGCCACAGCTATGCTAAACATTTTTGGAACTATTTAGCTGACTGTTAAGACACTGCTGTTTTAGATTTCTGGAATAAAGTACGTCCACCTCTGCTGTTAAAGTACTCGGAGGTTAGTAAACGCCCTAAAATGTGTAAAACTGGTGGTGACAAGCAGCTCTGATACATTTTGACTGAATCTCTGCACTGAAACATGAACCAATTAAAAGAATAATAACACTTAAGATGTGTTTATTTTGAGGTCTGTCTCTTTGTGTGTGCAGTTAATAACATTTTCCTTTTTTGATTTTAGGATGGTGTTTTGGTGGATGAGTTTGGCCTCCCACAGATTCCTGCCACATAAACAAGGAATGGATCAAAACAGCTGCACTACAACAAAAACACTTTTATATGTAGAGTAACATTTATACATGCAAAAACCATTTGAGCTGTGCTAATATAGGTTTGTGTATTGTTACTACTACTGTGCTAGCATGTGGCCTTGTAACATACTGAACCTTGTTTAAAACATTATGCCCCCTTTTCCCCTATCGCCCCTCTGTCTGACAGTTCAGTCTCATTCATCACCAGGTTCACATAGTATTACTTTGTTTTGATTTGTTAATAGTTTTGTGTTTAGAAATTTCCATGTTGTTTTAGTTCTCAAAAGAGTGGAGATGATTCCTATTTGACGTGTGTAAAATGTTTGCAGTTTATTTGGCACATGGAAAATAAATGATGCGTTTAATTTAACCTTGAATTGTTGATTTTTTTAAAATTACTTTTTCATTCTTATGCTTTCTTTGTGGTTTTTTTTTTCTTCCTCTTGTTTGATTCTGTGTTTATTGGTGATTTATTTGAGGAACATTGGGGTGTTGTGGATTGAATTGTACTCACTGACCTTAAAATTGACACTGCTCATCAAGAGAACACAGAATTATGTCCATTACTAGAAGTGAAGTGCGCATTTTGTGTTTAATTATTATTTTTGGATCAGATTAGCTGACTAGGTAGCCCTAGGGCACACTTACAGTAACTTACACTGCCAGAAACCAAGCTGTATTTCTACACTGCAACACTGCCCTAATCAGAGTTTTGCATACCAGTTAGTTTTTAGTAACTTCGTGTACCCTTATCATTACTGTGAAGTTACCAGGCAATGGGAACCTGCAAAGACATATTACAGGTTATAGGTTATTGCAGCTATTGGATGTTCTGTAGTGAAATCTGGCACAGGTCATGCAATTATATGGTGCAGCCTCACAGACGAGCTAGCATGGCTGTACGCCAGTGATTCTTAGCCTTTTTAGGAATGCAACCTCTTTTTGAGGATGAAATCCTCCCTTTGTTGGTTTTGGGAAGTAATGTAACATATATATATATATACAGTGGGTACGGAAAGTATTCAGACCCCCTTAAATTTTTCACTTTTTGTTATATTGCAGCCATATGCTAAAATCATTTAAGTTCATTTTTTCCTCATTAATGTACACACAGCACCCCATATTGACAGAAAAACACAGAATTTTTGACATTTTTGCAGATTTATTAAAAAAGAAAAACTGAAATATCACATGGTCATAAGTATTCAGACCCTTTGCTCAGTATTTAGTAGAAGC